GATGTTATTCTTAATGATGCTGAAACACGAAAAACAGCAGAAATCAAAACAGAAGATGGTAAAGTAGAAAAACATTTTCTCTTCTATGATGGAGAATCTGTTTCAGGAAAGGTAAATTTTTTTTAAAAGTGACTTAATTACTGTACTGATTATGGCATGCAGATGCATATAGGAAGTTAAATGAAAAACTGATATAAGCAAGAGCTGCAATCTCAGCTTATGTTGTTATTCAAAGAGGAAACTGTTTTCCTATATATGTTCTTTTTAACCACAGTCATTCAGGCAACTGATAAAACTGAACGTTTTGAACAGTAGCTGTTTATTTGTTTTGCCATCTTGTATTTACGAATAAGCTTTTTGTGCAACCATATACAATCCTATTGTTGCTTCTGACAAGAAAACTATTCCAAACTGGATCCCCCTGTTTCCCCTTCCCCTTGAACTCCAAAATCCACAACCTGATACGTGTAACAGTAATTTTTGGCTGGTGCAGCCAACTTGCTTTGCATACCTTGAAGCTAAGCCTTACGTTTCATGTCCTGAAGTGGTTTCTGGAATTGCATCAGAGGAGCAACATATTAAGTTCATCTGGCTGCTAAGTCAACAAGAGCTTTTTTTCTTTTTGGAAAAAAAAAAGTGAAGTTGAGATTGCCAGAGGGATTCCTCTGCTTTTAGTATCGCACCTAGGAACTCCTTGCCATCACTCTGGTTTTACTGGAGCCATTCGCATTCTCTGAATATTTCCATTATGATTTGCTTTTCCTCCAAGAAACGTGGGCCAGGTATTGGATTCTGAGATTGACTTTTAAATACCTACTTCAATCTTGACTGACCTATTGTCACTGGGTATCTTCCTGCTCTTAAGATATCTTTCCATGCTAAGATCTTGGTTCTCTAGAAAGATCCTTCCATGGATGTGAAACTCTGACAAGATGGGCCTTAAACTCAGGAAACGGAGGGAACTAGCATTCATATGTTCACTGGCCTGAGCACTTCTTGCTTGTATCAGCAATGCCTGAGAGGTGCCTGATGAGT